ACGTTGTCAGTCGCTCTAGCTGACTGCCGGAGCGCTGCTGCCGCTGCGTGCGGGCAGCGCGACCACGGCCGGCCCTTGCCGGCCATCCGGCAACTTTACTCGAACAATTTAACTCTAAATGACTAAAACTGACATGATATGAACATGTATACCGAATTAACCTGAAAACATGAATTTTGTACGAAAAGCTGGACTCGGCCGCGGCGAGCGCACCGTGCGCCGCCGACGGCGTTAAGCCGTTTCACGACCAAACTGACTTTTCTCTCGGCAATTCTAGCTCAACTGAACATGAAGTAATGTTTACTGAATAAATAGACATGAATGTTCAAAGGAATATATACTTAATGAACTCAATACGCATGAGCGGCCCGTGGCGCGTGCTACGTGCACGGCCACGTCCTTCGGCCAAAACAACTCTTAACGTAACATTCTCCTCGAACAACACAACCTGATTGAACATGATTTAACATAAACTGACTAACCACACAAGGTTGGTCGAGAGATTGCGAACTTAATCATAACATGATCTACATGAATCGTCACGCACGGCGGATACAATACATGGCTTAACCTATGTGCGAGGATCTGAACTAGATTGAAAAGGAACAACATGATCATAAGAGTTATCTCTATAAAGGAATTACCTCCTTAACTAGCTCAAGAGATAACGGCACCTCAACTCCCGTGCGTGCGTGCTCGCCGTGCGAAGTGCTTGCGGTACTTGTGCTAAGCTCGCGTGCGGTGGTTGCTAAGCTTAGGTAAAATTCTCCAACTCTCTCTCACTCTCTATGCTGAATATATGCTAAAGGAAAATGGAAGAATTTTCCCTAACTCTAACATATATATAAGGCGGCCAAATTGATTTAAAGTGATGAGGTGTTTAGTGGATTAATATTATCATGACACTTGCCATAATTTGGAGGCTTAAAAAGGATTAGTCATCACTAATCTTTATGAGAGGAGGACACCTCATACTACTTAAGGAAACAAATAATATTCCTCATGAATAAAGCATAATGGTACGGCTTTTTGGAGTAAAATTTGGGAAACTTTACATGCTTAAGTTGCTCACGGCTATTAAATCTCTTAAAATTGATTAATTCATAATTAATCATAGCTAAATTCTTAATTACTTAATTAAGCATAATACTGAATTACCAAATTATTCCGAACGTAAACGGAACGTCGAAAATAATTTCGGTAATCTTGACTGAAATAATTAATTCCAAAAAATAATACTCGAAAATATTAGTATATCGGAACTAAAACATGATTTATATTAATAAACTGATGGGATATTACAATCCTCCCTCCTTAAAAATTTCCGTCCTCGGAAATTCAAAGCATAACTGAATACACATGAACTATGTACATGGAACATGAAAATATGTACATCAAAACTGAAAATCTGGGAAACGAGCACGAATGTCAGCCTCTGCCTCCCAAGTAGCTCCGTGGCGATCCCACTGAATACGCACAAGGGGAACATCTCGCTTCCGGAGCCGACGAACCTGACGGTCCAATACAGCTACCGGTCGCTCCTCGTACGAAAGATCTGGCTGAACCTGAATATCTGAATGGGGAATAACATGATCGGGGTCGCACACGTACTTACGCAACATAGATGCGTAAAAAACATTATGAATGCCTGATAGCTCGGGAGGTAAGGCTAATTGATACGCGACTTCGCCTACTCACTCGAGAACTTCGAACGGGCCAATGAATCGAGGGTGTAGCTTCCCTCTCTTCCCGAATCGAACCACTCCGCGAATAGGACGAACTCTAAGAAAAGCTGGCTCGCCAACCTCGAACTGAATGTCTCGTTGATGATGATCGGCTGAAGATTTCTGTCGACTCATCGCTGTCTTGAGTCTCTGCCAGATCAACTCGACCTGATCTGCGGACTCCTCGATCATCTTCGGACCGAGTACTCGTCGCTCTCCAACGTCGTCCCAATAAAGAGGGGAACGACACTTACGACCATATAGTGCCTCGTAAGGAGCCATCTGAATATAAGAATGATAGCTGTTGTTGTATGCGAACTTGGCGTACAGCAACAATGACTCCCACTTAGCACCCCTGTCAACAACCAAAGCGCGAAGCATATCCTCAAGCGTCTGAATGGTCCGCTCGGACTGACCATCTGTCTCCGGATGGTAGGGTGAACTGAACTCTAGCTTCGTGCCTATCGCCTCGTGTAAACTGTGCCAGAATCTGCTGACGAATCTGGGATCTCTGTCTGATACGATAGTAACGGGCACTCCATGGAGTCGAATGATCCCACGGGTATATATCTCAGCCAACTTATCCAAAGACATCTTCATCGAAACGGGTAAGAAATGAGCGACTTTAGTCAATCTGTCGACCACGACCCAGATAGCATTGTGGTGTTCAGACGACCTCGGTAATCCGGTAACGAAATCCATCGTGACTTCCTCCCACTTCCACCTCAGAATCGGCAGTGGTTGCAGAAGGTCGATCGGACTCTTATGTTCGGCTTTGACTTGCTGACAGGTAAGACATCTCCTGACGAACTCGGCGACGTCCTTCTTCATTCCTCGCCATCAGAACGACCCCTTCAGGTCATGATACATCTTTGTGCTCCCAGGATGGGCTAGATAGGGTGCGGTATGAGCCTCCGACAATATCTCCTTCCACAATGCCTCGACTTTCGGGACCACGATCCTGCCTCTGAACTTTAAGGCACCATCGCCACCTAACTGAAAACACTCGACGCCTCCGGCGCGGACTTTGGCATCCATGACCTGAATGAACTCGTCAGAACCCTGTTCCCGCCGGATTCTCTCTCTCAGCGTCGGCTGAATCTGCATGGCATTGACACTGGCACTGACACTCCCCGAAATGGCTGTGGGAAGTGCATCGACCACCTGAATTTGCATCCGTGCGAACTCTTGAATCAAAGGACTCTGCTGAGTAACGACGTACGTCAAGTCACCCCTCACCTTTCGGCTTAGGGCGTCAGCAACGACGTTCGCCTTTCCCGGATGATACTGAATCGAGCAATCGTAATCTTTGACGAGCTCGAGCCAACGGCGCTGTCTCATGTTAAGCTCCTTCTGCGTGAAAATATACTGCATGCTCTTATGATCTGTAAAAATCTCGCAACGACCGCCGTAAAGGTAGTGTCGCCAGATCTTGAGTGCATGAACAACTGCGGCTAACTCCAAGTCGTGCGTCGGATAGTTCTGTTCGTGCGGCTTAAGCTGACGTGAAGCATAGGCAACGACCTGGCCGTCCTGCATGAGTACACATCCCAGTCCCTGCTTCAAAGCATCACTGAAAATGGTGAAACTCCGAGAAGGATCGGGAATAGTCAACACCGGGGCTGAAGTTAATCTCCTCTTGAGCTCCTAAAAGCTCGACTCACAATGATCAGTCCACTCGAACTTAACATACTTCCTCGTCAGCTGGGATAATGGGAGGGCAGTCTTAGAAAAGCCCTCGATAAACCTGCAGTAGTAACCAGCTAAACCGAGAAAACTGCGAACCTCGGACGGACTCTTCGGTGTCGACTAGTTCTGAACAGCTGAAACCTTAGAAGGATCCACCTCGATACCTGCCTGAGTAATCACATGACCCAGAAAAGCTACTCGCTGGAGCCAGAACTCGCATTTGGAGAATTTGGCATATAACTTTTCTCGTCTGAGGGTTTCGAGAACCACCCTCAGATGCTCCTCGTGCTCCTTCTGGCTCTTCGAGTAGATAAGAATATCGTCAATAAAGACAATAACAAAATGATCGAGGTAGGGATGGAAAATACGGTTCATCAGGTCCATGAAAACCGCTGGAGCATTACTGAGGCCGAATGGCATGACGACGAACTCGTAATGGCCGTAATGAGTCCTGAAAGCGGTCTTAGCGATATCTGACTCCTTAATCTTCAGCTGGTGGTATCCTGATCGTAAATCAATCTTTGAAAACACACAGGCTCCCCTCAACTGATCAAATAAATCGTCGATTCTGGGAAGCGGATACTTGTTCTTGATCGTCAACCGGTTAAGATCCCGGTAGTCAATACAAATGCGCATGGATCCGTCCTTCTTCTTAACAAAAAGAACGGGTGCTCCCCAAGGTGACACGCTCGGTCGGATGAAACCGAGTCGTAATAGCTCCTGGATCTGCGCCTTAAGCTCCTGCAACTCCTTCGGCGCCATACGGTATGGGGCTTTGGATACGGGGCCAGCTCCTGGAATGAGATCGATAGAGAACTCCACCTGCCGGTTAGGTGGTCCTCCTGGAAGCTCGTCTGGGAACACGTCCACAAACTCACGAACAACTGGAACATCGTGAGGTGATCGTGCTTTCTGAGAATCATCGACAAGGCTCACCAGAAAACCCTGGCAGTTGCCTCGTCGTAGCAACTTAGTGGCTTTCGCCATAGAAACGACATGAGGTAATGAACGATTCATGGTGCCAAAGAAAGTAATCGAGTCGTCTCCCGGAAGATAGAGAGTAATCTCCCGGTCATGACATCGGATATCTGCATGATAAAAGGATAGCCAATCCATTCCGAGAATAAGGTCGAAGTCCCTCATCTCGAGAGCATACGCGTCGGTAGACAAGACTCGACCACCGATGGAGAGGCTAAGATCTGAAGCTTTAGCTGAGGTCACTATCTTTCGTCCCGAGGCTAAAATCACCTCGAGAGGATCGATAGCGGTGGTAGCGTGAACTCCGATGGCATCAAGACATCGTCGTGAAATGAAAGAATGCGTTGCTCCAGTATCGAACAAAGCGAAAACAGGAATATCATTAAGCACAACCATCCCGGACATAGTACATGGCTGCTGTGCTACCTCGGCCTGATCAACCGCGTAAACTCGGGCCTGTTGTCTGCCCCTCTGCTGCTGCTGCTGAGGCGGCCTCTGAGCCTGTTGACGGGGCTGCTGCTGCTATGGTGGCTGCTGAGGCTGCTGGGGCTGCTGCTGAAGTCTCTTCGGACATCGGCTAACAAAATGTCCGGGCTCGTGGCAGTAGTAATAAAAATCCTGGCCAATGTGGCACTCTCCGCGATGAAGTCGTCCGCAAGTCGGGCACGGTAGAACCTGCTGATGTCTCTGTCGGGTCCTCCTGTCGGTTTGAGCACCCTTCCCTTTCCTCTTCTTCTCCTTCGTCTGCTGAGCAACTGGTAGGGCTGGTGGAGCTGTGGATGACTGGGCGGGGGCGGACGGCTGAGAACGATCACGGACAACCTCCCTCCTGATGCTGGCGTCCACCTCCTGGGCAATAGAAACTGCACGAGCATACGTCTGGGTCCCGTGACCTATAATATTGTGACGGACTGCTGGGTAAAGCCCGTCGATGAAGCGTTGTGCTCTCTGTGCCTCCGTGCGAACCAAATCAGGAACATAAACTGCAAGTCTGGTAAACTCTCTTTCGTAACTGTCAACAAAACGAGTACCCTGCTTGAGCGACAGGAACTGCCGCTCCATCTCTGTTCTGTAGTAGGTGGGGTAGTACTTCTCGCGGATCAGCTCCTTGAGCCTATCCCATGTACATCCCGTCTTCTTGCCGGGACGCATGCTCCAGTAGGCATTCCACCAGAGCCGGGCATTGCCGGTTAGCGGAAGCTGACCGCAGATTACGCGATATCTGTCTGGAAAATCCATGACCTCGAAGATCAACTCAAGGCCCTGAATCCACTCGTCCACGATACGGGGGTCTCCCTGCCCAGAAAATTTCTCAGGGTGATAGTCGCGAAACTGTGCGACCACCGTGGCCTGAGGAAGAACCAGGTGATCGGGTTCCCTACGGGGCGGCATCTGAACATTGAGAAAGTTTAAATTATTGAACACATGAAAAATATTCTGACTGATTTCTAAAGTACACAAATCTCTTGACGAGTTGCCAAAAATGGCCGGAAAATACTGATACAGATCCTGAACACGTCTAGAGTTATATCTGAGTACCCTGAATTCTAAGGTTTGATCCTGATTCGAGCATCTTAACTATGTCATGATTTAATAATTCTGAGCATAGGCAAAGTAATATGTTTATAACTGAAAACATAAATCAGCACTTACCTGTAGTCAGCGAGGCGTGAGCGTGACGGTTCAGGTTTTTCTGAAAATTTCTGACTTATAAAACTTTTCAGAGACGCAGAAACGTACTCTGATACCAATTGTAACACCCCGCCTTATCGTGAAATCAGAGTGCGTAATTTCGCGCAGTCTTTTAAAAATAAAATCTTTTAATTTGCGAAAAAATGATTCGGGGTGCTACCGTAAAACATGACTTATTCTGAGAAACCGTTATTTTAATTTTTTTTAGCAAAATCTACGGTTTACTGAAAGCATTAATTATCTAAAAGTCTGTTCAAAAGATAAGTTCGTCAAAACATCAAAATCAGCGGAAACGTAGCGTCATCAAAATATATACAATCACATGCATAAAAGTCCTGAATCATCCGTCATCTCACACCTCCGGCCCGACATCCTGACCTGAAAAAGATGATAAAAGTGGGTCATGAGCACTATAACACTGTGCTCCGTGGAAACTCATACTAAAGTAAACAGTGAATATAATAACAATATCATTATCCTGGTATATACGTAACCTGAACATGAAACCGGTAATAACATGAACATGAACCTGATATCATCACGTGAACGTGAACCATGACCGTTACCTCATCTGCCAGCATAAAAATGTCGGACACCATGTGCACACTCTAGTGGGCAAACTAAGGCCACTAGAACCCAGAATGGACCGGCGACCATTCCGAGCGGATACATGACATGAAATACATACCTCAAATATGGTACCGTAATTATAATCAATGTAGTACTTAGTCTGAGTCCCCACCTGATCCGTGAAAATAAAGGTAGTGCTGATGCTCGAGTCCTAATCAAACTGAAATATAATATAAACAATTACTAATGACTATGCTCAGACTGATAACTTAACTGATTAATTATGCTATGATGCTCTACTGAACTTGACATGACATTCGGACTTAATCGGTATAATCGGAACTGATCTGACATGAACTTGATCGGACATGAATTTACTGAACTGAACTGGACCCGGAAAATTAACTGAAAATGATACTGAAATAAAAAACTGGGACTGAAACAATAAAATACGGGCTGAACCGGTCCAGCCGGTCTGAAGCAGTCTGAACCGGTCTGGACTGGACCACCAGTCTGCTGAACCGATCGGTCGTGCACTGGCTCGGCCAGCCGGCCTGCCGAGGCTGCACACAGGTGCTGCCTGGCGGGCTGCGGGCGCTGGCTGACTGGGCTGGCCGTGCTGACTG